GGGGGGGGGGGGGGGGGGGTTGGATGAAAGTCTCAGCAATGATGATAGACGTTTTGTATTTGTACTATGCTGGGTGGGACCTATTAATTTTGGAAGTATAGATCCTTCCAGCTCCCTCTTACCATATTGCATGGGTCTGTGCCCTGCAGTAATCCCTCAGTGTCCAGAAGGCTGGTTGAAGTTCCAGGCAAATTGCTACTATTTCTCTGCTGATCAGCACCCTTGGGAGAAGGCAATGAGTATCTGCCAAAGCCTCAGCGCTCACCTGGTGGTGATTGAAAATAATACAGATAAACAGGTGAGCCATTCCTTATGGGGCGGTTGTCTTGCACTCTAAACTTTCTTCCTCCCCACCCAGTCCTATTCTTACAAGATGTAAGGCACAATACAAACGTTTGCAATCGCATGTAGTTCAAATTTTCTTCTGCTGTTTCCTAAAGACTGCTAAGATTAGGTATGTGAAATAGATCTTAACATTTTAAGAGGAGATTATATCTCCTGAACCTCCTCTGTTATTAAGACGTGAAACCTTCACAAAAAGAAGACGACTCTCTTGTTTAAAAAAAACACAAGCACCTTTAGCTAGCTGACCTGTATGCAGGTTTAGGAGATTCCAGTGGAAGCTGCGTTATTCTGATGCATGTTGGAATATCACATGCAGTGCTTCAGATTCAAAGGCAAAAGGGTACTTCAAAGGGATATTCTCCTAACGCCTCTCAGCAGCCCTTTAGAACAGGTGTGTTTCCCCCCCAGGGTTGTGAGGTTGTCCTCTGCAGGTGCAGTGCAATCCCTGGGGAAAGATGCCTTCCCTTGAGGTACACTGTGAGTACCACCCCATGCCACAAAGCTCCTTGTTGCTTCATAGCTCTAATATTTTTATTAATAGTTAATGGAGCTAGTATTTATTCATACAGTACTTCATTGTTAATATAAAATAGGTATCCTGTAAATTAAGAGTCACAGCTTTATATTTAATACAATATCTTGTAGTCTGTAATTGGCAGCACGGTTTAAAGAACTTTTCACCCTTTGCATTTTTACCCTTTAATTCTTTCCACTTGAAGCCATGATCTTTGGTCCATGTTTTATGTTTACATGGTATGTTGCTCAGCAGTTCATATCAGTTTTGAATCTGGCTGGGGCTTTGAGGGCAACTCTTGTAAACACAAGGTTAAAAGCACTTAAAATAAAAACTTAACTTAAAAAACTTTTCCCATGGCCCTACCTTTGCTTTCGTTGCTCTTTCTGGGAGAGCAGGTCATGGCTGGACCTTTGGTGAACCGATTGAACTATCAGTGATTATGTTTGTTGCCTTCCACTTTATCAATCTATAATAGTCCTTACTTCTCTTCAGTGTCTGTCTCCATTGCATCTGAATGCTATGAATCCTGAACTGACAAAATCCATTCACTCTCCTCTGCTTACTGAATAGTCCCCACATTCCCAAATCCATGTTTGTCTACTGAAGACCCCAGACCTTTCCACTGTTCAGCTGAAATGCTGTCCATTCATCTTTGCGTTTTCAGAAAGCTACACCAGCATCAAATGTGTTATCCCCATTGCTAACCCCTACCCTTCCTCTATGGCCACTGTCACTCAGGTCACTGAAATCACCTGAATTCCTTCCAAGATAATGTGTAAAAAAATCCAAATGGATTTTATATATCTTGCGAATGTCCTTCAACAGTGTTGGGATAAGGGGAAAATATTACCTTAATCCCAGTACAAGAACAAAAGACAACTAAAAGTTGTTTCAGGGCCTTCCCCACTGCTGAGCTAAAGTGCAGCCTCAAGTCACCAGAAAATTATATTGGCATAAAAATTGCTGATCAGGCTGTTATTCCAAATCTCTCCTCTGAACCCTCTGTTCCAGCTTGCTGCTGGGTGGTGGTCTGGAAAAACTTTGCATTTTCCTTTCAGTAGAAATAGTGAGATTTATTTACTCACATCTCTGTGTTTGTAATATTTTTACTTAATATTAAGACTTTCAGGTACAATTTTTCCGAATATCTTACATTGCTTTAAAGAAAGTGAAATTCCATAAACTTAAATCTGTTGCAATCCTGGTTTGGGTGAATGTTACCAGTACCCCTAATCCTGATTCAATGAACTGGGTCTCAGTCATAGCTCCAGACATTAATATAATCCTTTTTGCTTTCATCTTTCCCCAGAACTTTCTGGACCATCAAAAAAATTCTAGTTACTGGATTGGCCTCAGGAGGTACCCTAAAGGAAAGTGGATGTGGATGAATGGCATGCCTTTACTTGAGAAGTAAATGAAAGTTACTGATTATGGCTCTCTCTCTGATTACTCATCTCCTGATACAGTTTTTAGGATATAAAAGGAGAGAAGAAACCTCTAGGAAAGCAGTCACAGATGAATGGAATTGAAGTGGGTTTTTCAAAACATTTTAAGACATTTTTCTGACTATGGTGGCACCTTTACATCATGGGAGGAGTGGTTCAAAACCTCTTACTTGCCAGGACAAACTGTCGCTTGCCATGTTCTCTAATCTGCCCAAAAGAAAGAGGGCTGCTTCATGGAGATCTGTCCATGAAAGAAGAGTCTGTTACAGACTGCAGTTCAAAGGTTTCTTCTTCTTCCATAGTAGACGGTTTGGAGAGGAAAGGGACAATCATTGTTGCAAGCAACACTGTGGAAGAAATGTGTACCTCTTGGTGGTATCTCTTCCATAAAAGTCAAGTCCTGGATTACAGTCCTAACCAGAGATGCTACCAGGAAAAGTTATCAATCTTATATTGGGGAAAATCCTTAATGGTAGAATACCCTAATTCATGTAACATGGCTCTGCAGACTGTAAGGCCTGCTTCAATTCAAAATCCTTCTGCCAATAGGTAGGTTCACTGGCACATGGAGCTGAGTGAGAAGGCGGGATGGGCAGTCTGTCTTTCCTTTCACGGCTGCCTTCCCAGATTGAGTGGTGGGTGGTATACTGGGAAGAAGATGCCAGGGGAAGAAATGAGAAAACAGCCAGTTAGGCACTACAGCAAAGACACGTATCTGTTTGGGGCCAAAGATCAGACACCCTTTTCTGTTTTTCTTCCAAATCTCATATATTATTTTGTAACTGCCTTCACACACTGTTGCACAGTTAATCTGTCCACAGTGGATTAGCAAAATGCTGTTGGATTTTTCACTATTGCTATCCCTCTCACTAGAACATTTTTGCTTGGTTATGTTGCATGTTGGATTGTGGCTTTGTCATTTTTTTTCCGGCCACTATAGGTTTTATATTTTTGTATATGTTTTTATTTTTTTAATATTCTGAGCTGCCCAAAGTCACATATGTGAGATGGGCAGCAATATAAATCCCCTAAATAAATAAATAAATTTTGGTTCCTCTTCAAAACATTTACTTAATTCCTGTTCCTGCCTGGAGAGGTTGATGAGGGAGGGAGATGAATGAGATAAATAATATGTAAAACCATGATATGCAATATTTCTCAGAGCAAATAGCAATATTTAAGTATCATGCAAAACTATCATTTTAATTCTGCTTCCAGTAGATTGTAAAAAAATATATACCTTAGCACTGTTAAAGGACCTTAAGCTGAAAGTCATCATGAACTTATATATTCTTTAACTGACACTGTAGGAAAGATCCTCCTTCTCTAATAATTAATGCTTGTCATTCTTTATTTACAGAACTCAAACGATCGAAAATAATGAAACAAAAGACTGTATGTATAATTCAGTAGAAAATTCTAAAAGTAAGAAAAAGAAAACTGTTTGTACAGAATATTTTCCTTATATTTGTGAAAAAGAACAAGCATAAGAAATGTTACATGCAATTTTGTAAGGTTTACATTTTCATTTTGAAAAACCATGTAGTTCATAATTTGCTAGTTTCTATCTAATTTCTTTTGGAGTTGCAGTTTTTCAAATGCTGCAATAATCAGAATAAGACATTCCAGTTAAGAACTGGTGCTAGCTAGGAAGCATCGTTTGTCTGTTCTTGGTTTTTTGTTTTTATTTTATTGAAACAATAAAGATGAGGGTAAAAAAATTAAAATATAAGAAGAAGCATATTAAAAAACCAAAATAAAATTTTAAGGATATTTGTAATTTTAAGGAAAAAAGAAGCATCCATATTCAATCATTCTATCTTGAAAAACAGTTGAATACACTTGTATGGATAAAGGTAATATGTGACATAAATGTCATTAATATATCCAACAGATGGAAAGGAGCTTTTAATAAAACTATCTGTAATTTTACAGGTTTTTAAGGGTTTTTTTGCTCTTGTATTAATTTTTCAGCAACTGGATAATGACCACAATAAAGTTATTTCGTTTTGAATTTTTCAGCAAATGACTTGCCTTTCTCAATGTTATCTGTACTATACATTCATGAACAGATTTAATAATTTTAAACTTGTTTGGGACATCACACTCATGGCAGATTTTATAGGCCAAATAACTAAGTATGAATGTATGAGTGTTTAGCAGGTCTTGTATGCAAAGGATTAGTAACATATCCTAGAATAGGAAAGAAAAAGCAATTTCCCATATTTCACTTGCTCTGGCAAAAATGTTTCTTGTCTTGATAGCATTCCTAATGGCATGCTATTGTAATTGTTTCACAACTGTAATTGCTTCACTGCTGTTCAATTCAAAACATTGTTCCAGCAATATTTTGCCAAAATGGGTTGGGGATAACAGCAGCATAGTAAATATGGGACATTTAGTCAATGCTCCCGGGAAACAATTCATACAAATAATCATGGGGACAATATAGCCCAATGGGTTCATGTGAAGTTCTGCCTGAAATTTCATTCTCAAAAGCAAAGTTAGTGCAGTGACCATCATCCAACATACAACTACTTGTATTCCTATAATGAATTGATAATGATGAGGAAATGTCTCTTGCTAGGAATTTAGAAGTAGAAGCTACTACATTTGACAGCCATGTTCTAGCTCTTGAATTTGTTGCTAGTGAAAGCAATCTTTTGGAAGACAAGAGAACTAACCCTATAATTTCATGCTATCAGTCCTACAGTATATCTTTTCTTCCCCACAACACTTTCCAGTCTGTCAGCCTTGATCTGCACCAATTTCATGAGCATACCAATCCTGCTAAATCTAGTAATTCTTAGTACAATCTACAATACATAATCAGTATTTCAGCAAAGGAAGTTTCTTGGAACTAGCACTCAAGCACTGGTAGAAGAGCACAACAATATAAAATGCATATCATGCAATAGGAAAGTGGATTCCAGTTGAATGTTAGGGAAAAAAATCCACCTAGACCCTAACAGTCTCCCGATACTGGGATAAGACTTTAATGGCAGTGCAGTCCAGGGCAGCAGTGGATGATCTCCCACAGTGGCTTCACATAAATGTTGAAGAACAGTAGATAGAGAATTAAATGCTGTGATTTATGATAAAGGCACAGCCACTGAGCCAATCTTTCCTTCTTCACAACCATCAACTGAAACTGCCCAAAGAGCAGAATCACTGAATGTGGGAATTCTTGGAGACTGAAGGAAAAAGGGAAAGTTTTTGAGACATGGTAGATAAAGAGCAGATGGACATTTTAGTCTTATCTTTTAAGCAAGGCATCAGTCCATCAATTAGGGATTCTATGAGAAAGGGTAAAGCAGCTCACAGAGACCCTGTCTTCATATACTCACTGTACTAATAAATGAAGGTTGCTCATCTAATTTCCAAGATTCTGTAAATTAACCTCTTTTTCTTAGCCGATTAATGAGACTTTGGTGATTGATTGAAGTCTGATTAATGAGGCTGTGGTGAATCTTGCTTTCTTGGCCATGTGCTGCTGTTAGGGGCTTGACACACTGTGAACTAGTACCTCCAACCCTCACAGATGGTCCAGGAGATAACATAGGGTCTAAGAGAACTAGGAGGAAGCATTATTCCTGTCCAAGTCCTGCCAAAAAACAACCACTTAGCAACCAATGCCATCTCTCTTCCATGCCCAGGGTTGAATCCTGACTGGTACAGATCATCTGCTTTTTCCTGGTCATTCTAGAATCAGCTCCCACCGCCAGTGTTTCAGTAACCAGCTGTAAAAAGGAAAAGTTGCAGATGGTGTGATAATTATCCAGAATAGCTATATCCAAAAAGGACTTTGTGAGGAAGAGTTGCACTATATCCTGTTATAAGGCTGCCAGCATAACCCCCTACTGGAGTGAGGAATGGACAACTTCCCAGATCCAACTTGTCACGCTCCCTCCAGCCATACATGAGTCAGGAAAGGCATGTGTGTAGCTGATAAGTCACTGAGGACAGACCAGAAGTCATTCTATCCGCTTACTGGAGTCTATGGACCAAAAGGAGGCCCAACTAAAACTGTTATTTAAGTGTGGCATAGACTTCTTTCATGTTTCTTAGGTTGCTGTTACTAGAAAGTTACAATTTCCTAAATCTCCTGTTCTAAAGTTTGTTGCAAATAAATGTGTTTTTATTTCTCTCTCCCTATCCTGCACAGTATATAAGCTAAGGGTTTCATGAGAATCTTCTGGAATCCTGCCTATAATGTCACTGTGATGAGTGGCATCTTCTTTGCCAGGGAAGAACTGCAGATCAAGGGCACAGCCTTTACATGCCTAAAATCCTTCAGTTCAATCCCAGGCACCTCCAGTTAAAAGGAGGAAGTCCCAGCTGATATGAGAATAGATCGGTGCTTGAGGGCCTTGGCAGCTGCTGCTGGTCAGAGCAGAGGGCTCTGAATATAGGATCAAGTGCACAGGCTTAGCTATCTACAGGTTCTTATTTTGTTCCACATTGTGAATATTTGCTTGCTTATTTATTTAACTGTACTTATAATCTACCCCAATTCCAGAGTTTTCTGCATAACAATAGGAAAAACAAAAATGAAAGAAAAAAACACAAATCCAACCCCAAACCCTCAGTCAATCACCTGGAACCAAAGGCTCAGTAAAATAGAACAGGTTACATGGTTTCCAGAATGTTAACAAAATGGGAACTGCAGATAGTTCTGGGAAGGGAATATTCTATAAAATGGGAGCAACCACAGAAAAGTCTGTTGTCCCCACCCCGTGTAGCTTGCAAGGAAGGGAGTCTCTCCATAGGCATTCTTTAGATTACTCTTTCTCAACCTCAGCAACTTTAAGATGTGTGGACTTCAAGTTCAAATGTGTGGAATTGAAGTCCACACATCTTAAAGTTGTTGAGATTGAGAAACACTGCTCTAGATGACCAGACCAGATAGGCAGATTCAATTCTGACAAGTCATTGCCTGGCCTGATAGGGAATGGTGCTGCACTGCAAAAGGCTTTAAAAGTAATTACCAACAACTTTATGCTCCCAATGACAATCAAGAAGAATTTTATAGGAAATTACATATGAAAATAGCTGAATTGGACTATGTTAATATCTGTATGATGGGAGATTTTAATGGAATAATTAATGATCAATTGGACTATAAAACACAGAAATTGACAAAGAGAACTAGGAAGACACTGCCAAAATCCTTCCTTCGAATGATAGAAGAAATAGATTTGAAAGATGCATGGAAAGAAAGAAATCCGGCAAATAAACAATACACTTTTTATTCAAACAGACAT